GGTCGATAAGATTCTGTAATTAGGCCTATCATAATCGTCAGCTCCAGGCCCACTGGGCTCTTAATCTGACCCTGTACTATGGGAACAACCCTGAAGGCAAATCGAAGGGAACCGCAATAATTATTACACAAATCGATACCATTCTTACAGTCAGAGACCAAAACTAACAGTAACGGCCGGTATGTATTTGTTAAGGGTTCACTGCTGGAATAGAGCATCACCCTGGCCAACATCTATGCCCCCAACTCCAAACAAGGGAAATTCTTAAAGTCCACACTTAAGACACTAAAGTTGTTCACAGAAGGATTTCTGATCCTAGTGGGTGACTTTAACATTGCCTTAGAACAGGGAGACACCTTAACAGGCACATCAGCAATACCATAGCAGATCCTCCTGACAATCAGGCACACCCTCCGTACCCACCGCCTCATTGACTGCTGGAGAGCCATGCACCTGACTAACAGACTACACACACACTACTTCATACCCCACTCTAGATACTCCCACTTGGACTGCTTTTTTGTACCGTATTACCACCTCTCCCGGGTCTGCCAGGTAACAATAGTGTCATGATCTTGTGCAGGTTAGGGATGAGACTTAAGCTGGGGTTAATTGCAGGGTCCTAAAGCAGGAAATAAGAAAACAACTCAATAGAAATAGACAGAAATAATATAAATACTTAAATAACAGGTTTGTAGATGTTCAGTCTCTTTGGTTAAGAGGTTATATAGTAGTAGGTCCTTTGTGATAGATGCAAAGTAGATTGAAATATAAGTAAATCTGAAGAAGGAGTAATTAGATATCCACAAGGTAAATGAAAGTCCAGTGTTTATTTAAGCAAGTTGGATGTTCTGCAGGGAGATAGGAAGTCCAGGTAGGTTTGCTGAAGGGTTGTTGATAAGGGTTGTACAGGTAAGTTTGGAGCAGGACTTAAGCTGGGGTTAATTGCAGGGTCTTTATTTGATATCTTAGACATACTAGTTAATACAGGATATCCTATAATTGTAGATATAGGAAGTATAACAGAAGATAAACCTATAAGAGAGCTTATAGATTCTATATACAGGAGGAGAAATAGGAAAACAGGATTTAGGCAATATGCCCAAAATTGCAATAAGGTCAACCTATAAACTTAGAGGAAGTAATAGAGATTATAGGTTCTATATACAGGAGAAAGAAAACAGGATTTAGGAAATATGGATAGGAAGTCCAGGTAGGTTTGCTGAAGGGTTGTTGATAAGGGTTGTACAGGTAAGTTTGGAGCAGGTTGGTGAGTATTGCAGAATAAGTAGGCAATAAGGAAAATACACAGGTTATCTCAGGAGCCAGGATATGAAGTATTTTCAGGTAATCATCAAACTTCAATTTCAAAGCCACTTGCTTTGTCGGGTGTGGCCTTTTATAGCAGAACTTGATTTCATGTTCTACAGGTGAGAGTTGGAGGTGACAATCGGCTAAGGAGGCCACTAGAGGAGA